ATCGTTCTGACACTAAAGCTCGCGGTCATTGCTGGTGCAAATTCTCATAGGTACGTCTGTTTTCGACGGTTCCCTAAGTGACAGCTTTTGGGTCAAAGGACGGTTTGAGGAGCGTAGTAGGTACATACTTCAACCTTGCAATTGCCCGGCCTGGATGCCTTAGTGGTAGAGCACACTAGTAAACCTTGCTGAGAAATAGGACTTCGGCCGCTCAAGATACAAATTGGAGTTCACTGCGACACCTAAATCTGATGCCTAAGTGCAGGCAGCAGAACTATTTCAGAAGTCGAAACCGTAAGAGCCGGAATTGGCAGCGATGCGAAGTTTACTAGACAGATTCAGAGCTACGAGGGAATATCAATGTCGAGGACGGCCGACCGAAGTGTGGTCACACCTCAGACTAGACAGGTTGAGAGGTACGTATAGCGGTAGCGTGATAAGAGAAAAAAATATGTTTGCATATGTAAGCTAATGGTTCGCCAGATACCGACGCATCACCTCCTCTTCTGTTGTCGGGGGCGGCAGCTCCTTGACTGGGGCGTCCTCTTCGATGGCGATCGTGTAAGACAGGTGCGAGGTGTTTTTGGCGAAACAAAAGAAATTGCTGTTCGCAAGACGACGAAAGCCAGCCTACCAAAGGTATAAATTCCGGCATACAATGATATTAGAGTAAAATCTCACCTTTTGATAGAATCTAATGATACGATCCCGCTTGATGGTCCAGGCGGCCTGTTCAGCCGGTGTTGGGTTGCCGAAGGGACCATTGACAAGGGGCGGCTCGAGGTACCCTAAAACGGTGGGCCACGTGAAGATGTATTGCGTTCCGTTCAAAGCCTCGAGGTGGAAGAGCTTTGGGAGGACCCATGTGCCCAGGCCCTTTCCTCTCCATGCCGGCTGAATAACGAATTCTTCGAGATACACCAGGTAGGGTTCATTTCGGAAATCCTGTGGCTGCCAACATCCTCGATTGGGGCGGAGACGACCACGAGCATCAAAGTGGAGGGCCAACTTGCCAAGTTCCTTCGCATATCGTTAGCCATGCCCGAGCTTTATTGAAAGAATAATGCGAAGCTCACATGGGAGTACTCATTGACGCACTCGAAGAACCCACCATTGCGATTGGTCATCGCAATGTCGATGACTTGGATTTTGATAGTACCAACTTCGATGGTTTCTTGAGCCGTGGTCTTCTCGATCTTCACGTTGATAATCTGTAAACAAAGATTCATGAGCCACTCCGTTGATCACATCGAAGCAAACCTTGTGTGCTGAGTATTCCGTTTCTCTGTGACATTCGTCGTCTGACTCGGCGTAGCATCCAGCTTTGTTTTCGGGCTCCACTCGCAAGCGGAGTCCGGAGAGAGGAGCCGGGTGCATCCAGCAGACTTGATTATGGACCTTCCAGCACGCCGTCTGGCAATCTTTTGAACAGCTAAAAGAACAGATTCAGAGTTCATCGATCGCTCCAAACTTTTCACTTCAGGGCAACTTCAAGTTGAAAACTCACTAGCGGACAGCGGAGCATCCAGAACACACGAGCAGCTTCGGAGCGGCCTCCCCAGAGGACGCTGAGGGACAATTCGAGTTATCGCACTTCAGATCCATGTGCGCCAAGAAAGAGGAAGAGAAAAAAAAAGACGGGGTTTGAGTCACAGGATGAAGCCAAGCAAGCCCAAACATGCTTCAAGTTACGTTCTAATCCTAAAATTGAGCCAAAAGACGAGGAATTCAGCAGTCCTTGGGCCTTGGCGGCTACAAAACGCAGTCATTGGCTACACAATGCAGTCATTGCGGGGATCCTCTAGTTGCGTGGTACTGTAGTACACGAGAAAACCGGGCAATCTCAAACCCCTCATATTTAGATCACCGTCCTGGATTCAAAGTCCGCTTGAAGTGGGGTATTTTCGATGGGCCACTCGAGCCTATGGTAAGGCAGCCGGATGTTGTATGATAGTATAAAAAAATACAGCTCCTTGTCACCCTGTCAGCGTCACTTCACTCGGCATGTTCCCGGATGCCCTGAGCCAAGCCTAGTAATCACGCAGAACGTCTTTCAAGTTGACTGTAGAGTCGCAAATGTCGGGCCTCTGGGTTTCTTCAGCACGTCCAGTCGTTGCTGCGACGTTATTATAATCGGGCACTGCCACTGATGAACCAGTTCAACCAAGAGTTCAACCGTGGGAAAGGGATATTTCACTTAGCAATGTGTGGCTCAAGTTGAAATATTCAATTGGAAGACTTCACCTGTGAACTCTTCCTTGACGCCCTCCCGTACTGGTTACCTCGACCACCGCTAAAATGACCAGACAAATGACGAATCAAGCGACCCTCGTGCTTCTCAATTGCCCTCCTGATTCACCTCCGTCATGGGTGCCTTCCTGAAAGGATTCAGACAAAGAGGAATGCGCTGGTGAGAAAGAAGACTTGTGGTCCTCTCATGTTGGTGGTGCAGCATTCGTTAATTCGAAGATCCGAACCCAAATTAGATGGGCCGATCAAATAATGGACGCGCTCCGCATGGGGTCCAGGTGCTCTTGCCAGTCCAAAAAATATGGCACGCCTACGTAAGATTGAAAGAGCCCCGAGCGACTCGTTAAACACTTCGAAATGTGAAGACTTACATTCGCGATCATGACACGGACAATTATTAATATATACATTACATACACAGTATACGTCTCTCTGGATATTCGACGTCAATCCCTCTCGACATTTACCTGTGCTCCCCGCCTTCCCCGTCTGCTCCTCAGGCATATATGGTCCGCCTCGTATATATCAATCACTATTGGTGCGTTCGGAGGATGATTGTGGCAATATTTAGAATGCGGCAGCGACACCAGCATTGGGTGGGTACCCATGCAGGAGTCGTTGCCTTCTGCAAGCCTCACGCCAGTAGTACATCGTAACACCCTTTGATGTAAAGCGATGTGTCTTTTCTAGACTATGGAGGGTGCTGTACGGGTTCAATCGCCAGAAAGAATGAGGTTTGGTTCAAGTTGAAGGAAGAGTCTCGGCGAATGCCGGAAGTGTTCGTGCCGGAATGCCGAGTGAGACACGTGTCGCTATATAGCAGCCCGGGCCGTGCTTGAATTGATTCCAAAGGCCGAAAGCGTCGAGAAACGGGCTAGAAAGCGATTGAGAACGACTGAGTTCGGCAGCTGCAAATTGCATAGGAGGCCTTGGACGCATATGACCATAACCCATGAGTATCATATTTTTTTTGTGCAATGCAGAAGAGATTATTGTACGCGGACGACACCATAGTGAGTAACGACGAACGCCTCGCATTACACGCCCACCGCGCATCTACTCCCAGCCTCCAGCGGCAGCGGGTGCCTCTGCGCCCCATCCTCCACCAGCAGCAGCGGGCTCAGCGGCCCAGTCGGTCGACGCACCGCCGGGGGTGGGGTCTGCGGCCCAGTCGAGGGCGCCGCCGTCGCTGACGAGACCGGGGTTAATAGCGCCAGCCTGCGCACCTCCGACGTCCCAGTCGGCGGGCTGCGCGGGCTCCTCCGCGCCCTGGAGCAGCGCAGCCTTGGCCTCGGCCTCCTCCTTCTGCTGCTTCTCGACCTCCTCGGGGTCGCGGTAGAAGAACATGTCGACCATGACGTTCCACCCGTCGCTCGTGCGCGGGATGGTGCCCCGCAGACGGAGGACCTCGCGGGCGAGCAGCCACCAGATGAGCCCGATGGAGTGGCGGGTCTTGTTGTTGGTGGGGATGGCGACGTCGACGAACTTGAGCGGGGCGTCGGTGTCGCAGAGGGCGATGACGGGGATGTTGACGTAGGACGCCTCGCGGATGGCCTGGTGGTCGACGCGGGGGTCGGTGACGACGATGAGACGGGGCTCCTTGAACGAGCGGGTGATGTAGTTGGTGAACGACCCGGGGGTGAAGCGGCCGGCGATGGCCTGGGCGCCGGTGTTGGCGGCGTATTTGAGGACGGCGCGGTGGCCATACGGCCGGGCGGAGATGACACAGACGTCGTTCGGGTTCTCGACGGCGGCGATGATGCGCGCGGCAAGGACGAGCTTTTCCCAGGTCTTGCCGATGTTGAGGATGTGGATGCCTGCGCGAGTCAGTACTCTGCGCACACTAGCGCGTGGACCGCCCACCGTCAGGACGTCTCTTCCAGACATACGGCCCCATCTGCTTATCGCAGTTTTTGGTGCCAATATGGCACTGAGCGGCCAGCAGGAGCTGGATCTCCTCCTCGGTCGCGCTCAGCACAGCGGGTAGTTTTGAAGCCATGTTGGGTTGTGGTGGTAGAAGAAAACCTGGAAAATTCGGAAAAAATCGTCAGTAAAAAGTACATCCACTTGCGGAGGTCGCATCCAGCCCAATTCAGCGTCCTTTCGGCCTGAATGTGCGGTATATGGACGGCAGGGGCAAGGCTACATACCGTGAGGCTTCTTGTCGGCTTGGACGACGAAGGGAAGCTTTTGGGGGACGGACGGGACGGCGCTGGCAAATGCTCGATTGGGTCCGCACGTCAATGTGATCCCATCATCCAAAAGCAGTTGCTCCGACTTTGTCCGACCCCGAACCGCATTTAGCCGAGCGGGTCCTTTTCAAAAGAAAGACAAGGGAAGTGCACTAACCATTGTGCTATCGGGTCGCTGATGCCTTGACTGAGGTTTTCTATAGGTTCCCCTTTTTTCCATTGGTTACTCATGTCTTGAGTTGCACCTGGCGGTTTTTTTTTTTGGCTTTGCGGAAAATTGGTCAGGTCTAACCCTCGTTTGGGAAGGAATCGAGTAAATCTGCAGGGGTGAAAGATCTCACTCAGTGCAGCTCATACATAATGTGCAGCGATACCGGGAAGGGAACAGAAAAGTCGAAGGTCGGGTTGAAAATCCAACAACAGAGAATACGGAGTGCGGGGAAGTGCTTCTATCAGCGTTGTTGATGTTTTTCTCTCAGATGGATGCGAAGCAAAATTGGAGGCAACAACTAACGCAGAGAGTCTGAGCAGGATAAAAAGTTGGCTAGCTCCAGCACATGACCCAACCCCGAATCGAACGAGGACCTCCCGCATTAATCTCAAATATTGGCCGATACTACTGAGAGAAGGCGCACTAACCATTGTGCCATTGTGGACCTTCTGCCAGAATTTGTTGTGTGTATTGATGCAGGTTTGCAATTTTGCGACGACGATCCTGACGGTCAACTTGGACTCATTCCAATCTGAGATTTTTCATTCTGGAAGGCAATTCCAATCGAATTTGGATCGTTCATTCAAAACTTTTAGAGAGGTTCAGGCCACCAACGGAGTACGCCGCAGAACGGGACAAAAGTGTTTTACAACCACCACATGACCTAACCCCGAGTCGAACGAGGACCTCCTGCAATATTGTCACAATAGCTTCGTACCGCGATCATGCGCACTAACCGTCGTGCTGTTAGGTCGTTGGGCTCTTGTCTGAACTTGTTCTCATGTCGATGCAGATTTTCATCTTTTACCGACGCGGATGATCCTCGCTCGACTCGACTTCAACGCATTCAAGACTTTATTTTATTTGGCAGGCAAGTTCAATAAACTTGAAGGAGCTCACCAGAGACGTGTCAGGACCGTTGTTTTCTCTATGTCACTACGCCCTAGGGGGGCATTCACGGTCACTTCTTAGGGCGATGCGCATGCGGTTCTGAAGAAGAAATTATTGATTAATTGATATATTTTACCGCACCCCGCATCTAATGCGCAGTGAACCTGTCGCAGAACGCAGCAGAAGAGGACTCACCCTGAATTGTTGGAAGTGGCCGGGAGACCTACTCAAATTATTGAGCAACGATGAAGCGAAGGAAGTCCGACAAAAAACCGGGTTGAATACTGCAATTCTCACCGGCTTTTCTTCTGAATAGTACGTAGCTTGAATCGCGAAGGGGAAAGAATGCGAAAACACAGAGCAGGGCCGAAAAAAACGGATAAGAAAAACAATACCTCCAAACCATGCATGACCAAAGCCAGCATCTCCTGACTGAACTCTCAATTGTGGTGCAGTCATACCAGATGCACGCACAACTGCGCTATTGGGCCGTTGGCTCATATGCATTTATTGAAGCCTGAGGGAGACTTTGGTTTTTTTGAATGATGATCTTGGTTCTGAATCCTCTGTCAACGTCAACCAAACCAACGCGTTCTAATTTGAGATTTGAGATTTTATATCAAGTTCGCAACGACCTAACCCGCGTAATTCCACAGTACCTCCGGACCGAAAGCAGGTGCACTAATCGTTGTGCAATGAGCTCGTCGACTTGGTTCACAGTCAGTATGGGTGTGTGTGTTCGACTTCGTTTTATTTGACTTGGAATGAGGATCGACGTGATCTAGTTTATTCGAAATCGGGTTTGCGACCGAAATTATATCGCGAGCTAGGTACGACGACTGGGGGTGTAGACACTGGCAGGAATTTCACCTGTGTACCGCCATGTTGCGATGCTTGGTACACGACTGAAGTTGAGGTGATCACTGCCGGAGCCGCGCGCAGGCCTGACTACTAAGCCAATGGCATGACGGTGAATTCTGGTCCAGAGGATGCATACACTGTGGCCGCCATGATATTGTCAATTCAATAGCACCTATATTGTAGGTTCATGGTCGACGCGCAGCTCCGTCTGACGGAATGACGAATCCGGGAGCGACCTGACTCGGACAACACCACTGGCATCTTCCCCGGCGGCGAATCGAGACTTTGAAGGCGCCTGCGATCGAGGGGATTTTACTGCGGGTGGCGCACGGGGGTCGTGTACGCGCCGCATTGCCCGAGGAGCGCGCCTTGCTGAGATGACATCCTGAAGGTAAAGGACTCGAAGAGAGAGTATGACTGTGGGTGGCGTAGAGTCGAGGCGATTCATCGACATCGTCGTCCGGTGAGTACGCGACGCCGGACAGTGGGTAGCGGAATGTACCAGGAAGGCTTGCAGGAATATAGTATGACTCCGGGTGGCGTCGCCTGGACGATTTATGGTTGTCGTCCGTGGAGTGCGCGACGCTGAGGAGCGGAAATGTAGGAAAGCAAAACACGCATATTCTGTCGTACGCAATGCTCCCCGCTCAGGCGCCTGGAATTGAGGGTTGTGCTGTAAGGGCCTTACGAGACGATGGAGTTACAGGGGGGTAGTCTGAACGCCACTGGATGATTTAGAGCAGAGTTCGCGAGCGCCTACGCTCCGGAGTGAGAATTAGGACAGACGCTGGCATGTCTGTGGAATGTGGACATCCACTTTCTTAGGCGGGTTGGTTGACGTGAGTGGGCTTCGGGGAACGAGAGAGGCCGCGGAAAGTCTTTGCTGACCCTCGGAGAACGGTTTTACATGTGTGTGGAAACTTGAAGTTCACGGTCTTGGATTGGAATCGCGAAGCCTTGGGGAGCATCGATCGATCACGGTAGTGTCTTGACCAGGAGTCATTCTGTCTTCGATTTTCAGGCGCAACGATGTCGAAACAGCTGCATCCTGGCTGCATCCGCCTGGGATCCACCGGCAAGTATCGAAGGTTGATCGTGGATTGAATCTAGAGTTGCAAAGCGGTGCAACACAAAACATACGACAACAGAAAGTCTCTTTGCATTCGACCAACATGACCTTTCCAGTACTTATCTCGCCATTCTCATCGATGGAAGGACTTTTACCTATCAAGATGGCAGGAGATACCTATCGATATCCGTCTGGATCGGTTGAGATCACTCCTTCGGGCACGAGCCTCCATCCGACTCAAGTGAAGGCTGAATCCATTCAATCTCTGCTGTGCAACCTTGAACTACCTTGACTCGTTACTCCAAGTGGGGCCCGTACGGTATCCCTTTATGAGGCAAATTCGCCTGGCTTCTGTGAAAGGGCATCTGAATTCAATGCTGTCTTCCACCGCCACTGGCCTCCGCATCCCCGAACTTGCTATTGTATTCCTTAACTGGGTATAACCTCAGTGCCTGAAAACGAGGATAGTGGCAACTCCCGGCCAAGAGATAGAAAGGGGCAGCTTAGACCCGGTGCTATGGGCTCGTGTTCATTTGGACACTCAATTTCCGTGCTCCGGTCCGACGAGATGATCATCCGAGTTTAACTTCGTTCTGCCGGCTGCGCGACTGCTACATACGCTCCATACATGCACACACCTCGAGGTGTCTACCTGGCGGATCTATTTTCACCGTCTCTTTTACCAGGCGACAACCATCACTGTGCTTTGACCTCCCCCCACGCTGTACTAACCTGCCTAAATCGCCCCGGCGCGCCATGGATTCTGACGGCGCCCAGTGTGTGCATAAATTCTTCCTGGTCCCACCCGCTGACCCGTACCCCGGCAGTTTGAGATACGACGTCACAATACGCCAGCAGCCATTGCATGCGCGGATATCCGCGATGAAAATTTCGGGTCAGAATCGCCAATATACGCCCGCCAGGGTGGAGCTGATACTGTGATCAGCAGATCGACGGCCTGTGGACCCTCCCATAATTGTACAGCTCTTCGTGACTGATCGCCGGGACATGGGCTCGAGCGCGCCGCCGTCCAGGGCAACCCATCGGTGACCAAGTTTCTGTATTCGCAGCCGCATCACGAAAGCTGACATCGGTATAAAAAGATTATTGACCCGCCATTCGCATCTGACGAATCCGTACTACTTTATGTATGCGGCGCTCGTCGAGACGAACAATGATACCGAAGTAAAATACATCGGTGTATGGCGCAGATAAATATTCCGGGTCCATCTTCTCATCTTTATTATTTCTAGGACGACGGCAGACCGAGCACTTCCGGTTCTCTCATATCGTCGGTTCGTGTGCTGAAGGACCATCCGAATTCGGACCAAGATGCCGCCTTTTTTATATTCCCCAACATTTGCGTACGAATAGAGGGAAGTTGGCGGTTCAAACTGAGCTTGTTCGTTATCGACGGGTGTGTTGTTTTCGCCGACTACGCAATCCACACTGATAAAGTTCCGTAGCGATAAAGTGAAATCGTGTGCGACCACCTACTCCGCTCCATTTTTCGTATATTTAGGAAAGCAGTACCCAGGTGTTCAAGGTGCGTCGTACCCAGGGTATATATCACAAAAGATATTGATTCGCATCCAGTGTCTACTCCACTCACCCGCGCGCTAGCAGCTCAAGGTGTTAAGCTGCGCATACGCAAAGAGGTTCGGGAGAGAACTTCGGGTCGTCCAAGGGACGAAGAGACTCCTGTTGTGGCAACGCGAGAAAATACGAGCTCCCCTTCTAGCGGAGACTCCGTCTTGTCCCAATCGCCTCCGAAAAGGAGACGCACGCTGATGAGCCCCATCGACGGGCTGCATATCTTCGATTCTCCTCTCCCGTCCGATATATCTAACGCGGTGCGCATACCCCGCCAACCACAAATTCTGCCCGCCCCTTCCCCCCCTTCCTCCCTCTACCCGTCCGAAAAACCCTCGCAATATAATGCACCCCTTCGGCGAATGTCGCTTGACGCTCAGACATTGCAGCGGCCATATCCCAGTCGCGATTGGTTCACCCCACGAAGCGTAGAGGATTATCAACCCACTCTACCGCAAACACTTGCGATCCCTACAAAACTGGAGCCCGACTATGCCCAGTGGGGCCTGCAACGGCCGGCTCATCCCTCGCCAGAAGCTACCCAAATGCTCTTCGAACGCCAAATTTCTGCGGTGGACAGTGAGCAGCGACCTCCTGCATATTCGTGGACCTCCGAAACACCACACCGCGATTTCTTCTCCCACCCGGCGACTCCGCCGAGCAATCCTTCGGTGCAACAGCCATTTTCCTTGCCGTCGTCAAATTTCTGGCAGATGGGTGCCGTGCCTAGGCAGCGGGGTGAACAACTGCCAGCGCGGCGGGACAGGCCCAACGAGAGATATAACCGACCTCCTGCGGATTTAGCCGGTTCTGAATTTGACTGGAGCTCTCAATAGGCCCGACTACTCATATACGTGCACGTTGGCGCGTCATTTTGTAGAGATAGTTACTTACTATACTCACCACAATGTGTGCATAATTCGATGATCGGGCTGTGTCCGAGGTTCTACGGGGGTATTGGCCTTTCTTGATGCCAACATCGTTCCGACGCCTCCAGGTACCGGTGAATGTGTCTTACCATTGAAATATATT